CCCCGGACAGTCTACCCTCCTTCGTGGATTTGGGAACACCTATACCTTTGGGTATAGACCCCTGTCCACCCAGCGCTGCGCTGTTTATTTTATTGTGGTTTTTCCTCATTGTTTATTTTTTATTATAAAAATTGTTTTATAATAAATTGTTCTTTTATTTAACCCAAATTTGCCTTTGCATTTATAACACAGACTATAGTTTACACCTCTTTTAGAGGGATTTATATAAATTTGTGTGCAAATTAGCTGCATTCACTGCAGTGCCGCTGAATCCTTGCATTGGGGCCAAAACGCCGGTTCTGCTAGAGGATTCCTCAATCCTCGGACCCGGGCCCTTTCATTTTTTCTTTCCTTTCTTCTTTACTCCCTCATCCATTATCCCTTCCCCCGCTTTGTTTCTTTCCGTTAATGAACACCCGAGTTTATTTGAACTCCCGAAGTTGTGTCTTTTTCCTCACACCCTTGTTCATTAGACACAGACATTACCTCTTTCTCACTCAGCCCCGCAGATCCTCAGGGGCAGAATAGTACCGGGCCAGCCGAGACTTCGGCGCGCGCCGCACCGCCAGCGGACTGCGCTTCCCGGCGAGCCCCGCGCGCGACCGCGGCTCCGAAGACGCAGGAGGACACAAAGGGCAGGGCGATTGCATTACCCGCCCTTCCCGCTTCCACGGCGCGCTTCCACCCTCCGCCCCGCCCCAGCCGCGCTCCGGCCGCCTGCTTCGCGCTTCCGCTGCGCGTTCCCATGGCGCTGAAGCGGATACAAAAAGTGAGTCGGGCTGAGCTATGGGAGGGGGCGGAAAGAACACCCTGCCTTTGGGTAGTCTCCGGAGCTGCCTTCCCCCTTGGTGCCGGGGGTTGAGGCGGTGGCCGGACCGGGCTCAGCGAGAGGTGTCGCGGCAGCCGCAGCCGCGCGCTTTATGCCATCTTTGCCAGGATTCGTCCTTCCCTCGCCGGTAGCCGGGGAAGAAAATTGAGTGTGAGGCTGAGAAGGAGGGCTCTTGTCGGCCGCCGTGCGGTTTCGGGACACTACCTCCTTGAAGGCCCCGCACCCCGAGTCGGTGCTTTAACGCGCCGTTTGTGGGCCAGCCGCGATGCTCCGAGCGGTGTGCGGAAGCGGGGAAAGCCGAGGTGCTAATGGAGAGTCTTTAGCTGAGACGCAGGGACTACATCAGTCGCCCACACGCTGCGCTGCTGTTGTGCATGGTTGGTCCGCAGTGTGCGCAGGCTGTTGCCTGGGTTAAGAAGTGCTGTCAGCATAGTTCTTGGTGTGACCTTTGAACGTATCCCAGTTGTAGTGTTTTGGGCTGGTACTTGTAAATGGCCTGGTTCAAGCTGTGAATTCTTCGTTTCCTTTTGTTTGGCGAGGCTGAGCTGATCGCTGTACAGTACCGGGTATCGCGACCAGCACGGGAGGGAAGTTAAGGTTAGTGCTTTGGCCCTAGAACCGAACCCGTGGTGTGTGGTTGCTGTCGGTGTGCCGTGTTTAGGCGGCTTTGGTGCCATCCTGGTTACGTGATGGTGCTATTATTTCTTGTGCAGGATTCCCTTTTGCTATTGGAAGCCCTTGGTATTGCAGAAATAGGATTCTATAGTGACCAATTAACCACAGAGTAGGCAGATTTAGGATATCCTACAGTAAGTACCAATTTATTTGGATGGATTTCTACCAGAAGCTGGTAGCCCGGTCTCATGCTGCAAAGCTTATGCCTTTACAGGTAGTGCAATTACAGGACAATTTTGTACCTTTGTATCATATGTTTGTAGTGAATGTTGCATTTGACCATTATATCAAATATTAACAAATAACTACAGTGGGTTTTTTTTAGCAATAACTTTGTCGTGCTTCTATGTATTATAGGAATGGTTTGCCTTTTGTTGCCATTTCAATTTCCCACCGTTTCTTGAATATCTCCTTACTCTCATGTTTCAAGAAAAGGATTGTTCTGAATACTGTCTCTTTCCAATTCTTGTTCAGCTCCTTTCTGCTAAGGTAAACAGACAAAGGGGAAGGTCTGGTAATCTAGTATTTTTGAGATGGAGTGGTAACCACCACTTGTGGCTTTCCAAATGAGGCCCAAATAGTAGGATTATTCTTCATACTTTTATCGTGTTCCCTGTGTAACATTTCTTTCTGCTTTAGAGACGTTCATACATACTGGAAAGCCACAGTTTTCTTTAATGTGGCATTTAAGAACTTTGATAGACTTGAAATTATGGTTAGACTTTTTATGTAAGTGTCTTTCATTCTGTTAGCCTTATTAATTCTGTTTCTACTCTTTCAAAATGAAGACGTGCTTTCCAACCTGCTGACTGTAAGGTGCTATGAGATTTCCTGGTTATACAATAACTTCTACCTGAAACATGAAGAGATGCTAGGTAAGGACCTTCGAGAAGAGTTGAGATTAAATTCTCAACTAGTTACCACTTTGCTTCCAGTTTGCTGCAGAAATGGCTACTGTTGGTTTTCTTTTTTTTTCATTAACCACCCTCATCACTCTCTTATGCATTTCCAGGGGAAGAAAAAAAATCTAGTAGAGGGATTTGGCTAGCAGCCTATCTCTGAAGAAGTAGAAGACGAAAGGGAATGGCAAGGAAATAGGTTTGTTTAAAATGGAAAGTTAAAATGGAGAAGTTTGAAAAGACTATCTTGATGTCTCTGTAACACAAAATTTTTCCTGAAAATCACAGAACTGGAAGTTTAATGGTAGATGAAATGTATTTTTATGCTGGTGTGTTTATCTCATCTACTTTCCTGGTGTTTCAGACTGGCTGTAAAGTTGATAGTTATGTTGTATCCCAGGGATGGGAAGGGATAAGATCTGGAGTAGAGGACATGCTGTGGTTTCAGAATGCTAGAGGAATTCCTTGGAGAACAAAATGCTGTCAGCAAACGCAGTGGTATTGCTTGGGAGCTTGTCAGTCTAGACATACCGTCTGAAGTTAAGCTTGGTTGGGTTTAGGGTGGTTCAGAATTGTGCTTGAACAAAGCTAAGAGATTTTGGTGGCAAGCTCGAGTGTTCGCAGCAGTTTTGATAATTTGTGTGTTCAGCGTGACATCACCTATGAAGGAAGCAAAGCTATAATATGTCAACCTGTTAGTAAGCATATTTTTTGTCATACTGGTTGGGACTCTGATTTCTAAATAATACTGCCACTGGAATCTGCGTCGTTGCATCCTGCCTTTGGTTGATTGTCTTTGAGGGACTCCTCAAAGGAGGACAGCTTGTGGACTTCCAAGAATGTACCCTAGTTACAGAAAGACATTGTGCTTGGGAGCTTTCTTAAAAAGTGTGCAACTGAGCAACCAGTGAAGAAGCTGATCACTGTATATGGAGATACGTTGATCTTAGTGCTGTAGGTGGAAGAACAGTGAGAATATGAAGCCCTGCTCTGCAGGCACGGCTGTCAGCAGTGTCTCCATGACAGACTCTGAATCTCAGAATTCCTCAGAGAGTTTAGGGTCAGGGGATTCTTACTCATGTTGAAGATCCTGTGTTCGTTTACCTTTTGAGTGCTTTGCTTTGTCATTGTATGAGGGAGGCACTGAATTTCTACACTGTCAAAAAAATTCAGTTACACTGTGTGTGATGTTCTGTGAAGCAGTGAAGGAACAACACATTTTTGTGAGCATTGTAAATTCCAGATGCTGCAAATGACAAAAGCAAAACAAATAGTGTAGGTTTTAGTTGAGAAAGAATAGTGTGCAAAGAAGCCTTTATTCTTGCCACCTCTGGAAAGTGAAATACTATGACTTTTGTGAAAGGTGGAAAATAATTCAGGATGTCAGGTTCTGCAGAATAGCGTGTAGGTCTCAGTTCTGTCCATCTGTCTTATGCAAAACCATTTTTCTGGAGTTCCTGTTCCAAATTCTTTGTTCACATATCTAATTTGCAGAGTTTGCCATCCTCTTAGTTCCATATCACAGCTGAGATTGTTTTCATCATACATCCTGTACTGGGTGCTCCTCCAGTGTTAGTGGGAGGTTGATGTGCTTGCTAATGCTCAGGCTGTCTTGTAAATATTTTTCTTACAGGCATAAAAAAAAAATCAGACTTAAAGAGATTTTAGAAGATATTTTGAAACCAGAAAGGAGATAGATTTGAACATTGCTTTAAGAATAGCTGTTGGTTTTATCTAATTGATACATAGTGCTTGATTGTTTTTCTCCTACAACTCAGTAAGAATAGAAGCATTCAAACATTTAGTTGTTTCAATGAACTATATGTCTCTGTGGTTCAGTATGTTTCAGTGTGTTTCATATGTGCATAGTCTAACAGGACATACTAACTTGAAAAGTTATGTTGAAAATAACTTTTGTCATTGTAAATTGACTTAAATATAAATTAATGATATTTGTAGTTTAGATTTTGACTTTAAAACTGCAATCTTTAGGTAATTGACATAACAAGGAAACTTTTTTGGCTCTAACATGAAATGTTTGACTTTGCTTTCAAAACCTCAGCTGTGATACTACATATTTTAGGAACTTTTTTTTTTGCATTAAAACAATGTACAGAAATAGAATATTTATTAACCATTATAGCAATAAATCTTATTATAAATATGTGCTTTATATTTACAAAATTTGTGAAGAACCAGAGGAATCTTTAACTAGTCTTAAGTATGATCACTATGAGGTTTTTTGACAAATGGTTCCAAGCAGCAGTGTACACATGGAATTGGTAGGAAATGAGTCTGTGGTCTACAGTGCATTTTGTGCAAGAAATTAAGAACATAGCTGAGAAATAGAAATCTATATTTTAAATAATAGTGTGGAGAAAGATGCTGGTTATGGTTTTGTATTGTTAGGAAAATGAAAATAGCTAAATAGCTTTCAGTGATGCTGTCTGCAATTTATTTTTGTCTTCAGATAATTTGCAGTCTTTTTTTCTGAATATTTTTTTTTAGACTGAAAAAAGACATGTTTAGGACTTCTGTGCTGAGAACGTTTATTTCCTTGTCACCAAAGTATCCTTTACAGTGTTGTTCCAATAGCTTTTTGGGAGAGAAGCCTGGATGCTAATCAAGCATGTAAGTGTTAAATTGGCCTTGCAGTCTTCATACTTTTATGAAATACATCCTGTATTATTCTTTGACCATGGGTATTAGTCTGCACATTTGGAAATGTCTCCAATGTTTATAGATTACCACAGCCTGTTTTTTACAGCTGTTAAACTTGAATTTTTACTTCATGCTATCTACGGGGCTTTTCAGGAGTGTGTGTAGTGCAAGGGAAGGTGATAGTTTGGAGGCTTTGCCATCTCCAGTAGTATGTTAACCATTTATATTCTATTCTACCCTGAAATGGTTTGTATGAGAGGATTAGAAGATTCATTCCTACCACTGTCCCCAGCTTAGGTATTTTTCTCCATACACATTTATCCTACCTGTACTGGGTTAGTGTGGCATGTGTTGGAGCTCTTCAGAGATGCTTTTATGCTGTTGTGTTCACATACATGTTGTGTTTGAAATAACTTGTACTTCTCATGCATTTCTTGCAGACAGAATTTTGGGGTTGTGTATTCTCATAAAAGATGTTGCACCAGTGTACATTATAATTTAGAGTGGTGACTTTCTCTTTTGAAAATGAATCTCCACTGCTTTGAGCTATAGATCCTGTTTGTCAGCATATGTATGTCTTGCATCAGCATTTTCTACACCAGCGACTAAAAGTATTCATGCAGACCCTTGAAGTGACCAGACCTGTGTCATACAGCTACGTGGTAATAATCCATAAAGCTTGGACAAAGCTGTTGTAACCAATTAACTTAAAATTACAGGTGAATCTCTGGTGTTGTCAGTGTAGTGCCCCGCATGCAGTTATCGTGCACTTCTTGATGATGTTTGAGCACATTAAGCTTTGTGAGTCTTCAGCCTGGTTCCATAAAAAAAAGCAAAATTTTGGCCTCCTTCTAAAGAGCATCTGTGCTTTGTATAAAGAATTCTTTTATTCAGTGTCTCATTTTTTTGTGAATACGTAAAGTCATGAAGAAATTTTTCTACATGTATTTATTTAGAGGATCCTCACTTCTGTTCTGCAGTGTTCAATTCTGGGCATTGTCTGGGCACTGTTCTGGGCACACAGGGACATTTGAGTATCTCCTTGCCCTATTTCAAAAAGGTATAGGAAAGCTTGAAGCCTAAATCTTACAGCTCTCCAGATAATTTTGCTTTAAAAAATTATTAAATTTGCCAAAGCTTAAACATCATAATCAACAATATAAATCTGAATAGTTCTTCATTTTTATCACAACTTGATCTGAACTTCTGTATGTAAAGGTTCAAACTGTTCATACTGTTGGATCATGTTACCACTTGTATTTTTAAACCACATTAGCTTCACATATGGATGCAAAATACAGCTTGAATTTGCTCTACTGAATTTGAAGTTTGATCTGGCTTTGTGTTTCATAGCTGCCAAAGCTCTCTTAATGTATTTGTTAACATTGCTCTCATTTGGTGAAGTTTATTGAAGAGAGCCTTTACTTCATTGTTGTTAGGAAAAATTTATAAAGGGGGTTTATAGTTCTGGGTCTCATCAATATAGGATTAAAAATATTTGCTGGTTTTTTTTAATCATGGACAGATGTCAGTGCCTTTTTAGCTTGATCAAATTGAAGTGTATACCCAAGGAGCATTTCCCAGTTCTGTTAATTCTTAAGTACTTACATACATATCAAAGAAAACAAATTTGTGTGGTTTTGGGGTATGTAAAGATCTTGATGAATACATCTAGCAACAAAAGCACTGTTACAGACTTGTGACTCTAAGTGGTTGCCTGGTAGTTCCTATATGCATTTGGAATGTTTGCGTATACTTTAGAGACTTTCTGAAAAGTTTAAGCTACATATTTTTCCAGTTACTGACTTGAATTTAGTAGTCATTAATGACTTAAAAAATGCATGATTGTTAGTCTGAGTTCTCTGTTTCAGCATTGTAATGTAGCTGTTTTGTTTTGGTTGGGTTAAGTGTGTGTACAAGACCTAATCTTGTCTCATTAGGGTAGATCTTGAGTTGCAAATTAGAGAAGACAGTGCCTATAACAGCTCTGCTGCTGGTCATGTTTGCCTCTGGTGATTGCTGGAAACTGGAGGTTTGTTGACTCTGTGCGTCCTGGCAGTGGCTTGGCTTTGCATAAATAGGTGGTTTTCTGAATCGCTCATTAATGAAATTTGAATCCTCAAGTTAAAAGGTAAAGTGCACCCCTAAAGTGCCTTTTTTAGTTACAGTCTAGCCCAGAATGTTGCTTCTGGATCAGCATACAGTGTCACCAACATAATAAAGTGCAGACAAGTAATGCCAGTTGATAACCTGAGCTATTGCAGTATATTAAAAAGTGTCTCTCTTATTTTAAATCGCAAGGATTGTGAGAAGTGACTTGCAGTAGTAAGAAATGGTGCCGTGCTTTTCTTTGATTTCAGGGCCAAGAGTACACCTGTAAGTTTGGCTGAATTTAGGTGTCAGATCCATAGTAAATTGAGTTTAAATATTTACTGGATGTCATAAATGGAAAAATATATCACAGCAGTTGCGAAGTGCAGATTTTTAACCTTTCAAATTAAATGTAAGGTCTGATCACAATGAGTACACCAATTCTACACTTGAGTTAAACTTCGCTCCTTTAAACCTTGATTTTGTAAGTAGTTGCCTTGATTAATGTATTTTGAATAGAAATGTTTCCGGTGTTACTTCTTAAGGTAAACTCACCTGCTTGTATCTATTGTTGACTTAAATTGCATGTTTTGAGTAAGGAACTGAGTTACTTAAAAACAGTGGTTTAACACACATCTTTTAACTTATTTCAAAGGAAGTACTTGCATGTAGCCGTTAAAGTTCTCACAGCACAGTTTCTGTCAGCCTAGAGCTGGAAAAAGTTGTTTGTCCTTAATACAATAAAAGTTCAGATATCAAAAGGAGTATATTGAATTTGATGAGGAAAATGAGCTAACATTACTGCCTGTCTTGTTTTCTGTTTCAAATAGTGATGATAAATCAAATGAACTGGTTTTGTGAAATCACGTAATAATTTTAAATTACTTGGGACTGTGTGGACTCATGCAAGAGAAATAAATCAGTTAAAACCAAAGACCACCAAAAGCTCCTCTGAGTGCTTAAGTTTCAACTTGGGAGTTTTTTAGTCAAAAAAAAAAAAGGCATGCAGGGAATTGAATCAAGGTACAGTAAATCAGGTGTAGAGCTAGTATTTTTCCTTTTGTTTCAAATTTAGTTAGGACCCTTTATATTATATTCCTACATCATTTCCAGGCAGGCTGCAGTTTAGCTCTGTTGATGTCCATAGACTAGGACAATACAGAAACAGGCTAATCAAGAAACCCTTTTTATTTGTTTTGTTTCCTTCAAGTATGCTGAACTTACTATGAACTTGGTTGCAACTCTCTTAAATTCTTTCAGATATGAATTTCTAGCACAGTGTTAGCTGCAGGCCATCTGGCAAATAAACTTTCTCCGTTTCAATGGACCTTTCAAGTGTTGATTGTTTTATCAAAATAGCACAAAAAATGCCCGTGGGTTTAATAAAATTGGTTTGTTTTCCCACTTTTGAAGGGATGCTGCCAAGTGGTATGGATTTTCATGTCTTTCAAATATTTCTGTGTTTCTTGCAGGAACTAAGTGATCTGCAGCGAGATCCACCAGCCCACTGTTCTGCTGGACCTGTTGGAGATGACTGTAAGCTTTCCTAGTACATTCAGTAATTTCAGTTCTGAAAAGGCTCAGAAAATCTCTAATTGTTGTATCTTTTTGCCTTTCAGTGTTTCATTGGCAAGCAACTATTATGGGACCTGTAAGTATAGGAATCATGCCCCTTAAAATGTAAGACCTTGCTTCTCCTTTGTTACGGAAGGATTCATTTGGGTTTCTGTAAACACAACGGCCACATTCAGCCCTGCTGAGTGTAGCTTGGAACTTTAGGGTTATATTGTTTTCTTAGTAGTCTGCTACTTTTGTTGCTTTTTGTAACTCAAAAATCCCTCCTCTTCATGAAGTTAAGAGTTGCTTAATTAGTCAGCTGTGGTGTTTGAGTTTGTGATCCGTGCTACAAAGCAAAGAGCTTGCTTTTCATAGACAGTCATATCAATAATGAAAGATTCCTCCATCTGAAAGGAGGAAGAGTGGGTGAAATCTAATATTAAAGTTGGTAACTGTAAACAAGAGTGGAGTTGCAGAGGGCTTTTAGAGCTAATTTTATTTGATAGCTGTGATGTGACTGGTAAAAGCATGTGGGTTTTGCAAACTTTTGCAAAGTTTCTGCATATGGCTTTTGTAGGCCAGCAGTGGGGTGCTTTTGTTGGTTTTTGTGCAAGAAAGGTGCTTTCCATGAGTTGAGGAAATTATGACTCTTGTGAAGGTAATGACATAAGAAATGACAAAAAAATCTTTAAAACCAGGAAAACTGAGAATAATTTTAGCAAGAAAAATAATAAAGAACAACATTATCTGAGGGAAGGTGTGCTTATTAATATCCTGGTAAGAAGTTTGTATTCCTAGTGTTTTCCTTTTGGATTTAATATTTTGGAAAGAAGAGTGTCTAGTTTGGAGAGTGAGGTGAGTCACGGTGTGAGGTGAAATTTTGAGATAATACTTAATCCATTAAGATGCAGCATTAAATCCTGGAGAAAAGTGGAAATGTGTCTGTTTTGAGAGTAATCTTCCATTTTCAGCACAGTTGTTCTCAAGCAGTGAAAGATCAGGCACTAATTTGCTTGTGGTGTGCTGGAATCTATTGTCCAACTCATCCATGGCCCAGCAGCAACTGTTTTCTGTAGTATGCTAATGCTTTTGCCCTTTTGCTTGAATAACAAGTATGTTGGTATGTTCTTCCCCATACCAAGGCCTTCTGACTCTTGCCCTCTTAAACTGCCAGAGGATGAATGGCAAAGTGGTGACAAAGAGTTAACAAAAGCTTGTGTGCTGGTTGCCACCAATGTCTGTCCTGAATGACTCGTATGACATGAGTAAAGGACATACTACGACATAAATTTTGGGTTAAATTCCATTTTCTTTTCCAGCTTGCAATTCAGCTTTTGTATTCTGTAATGAAAAATATTATTTACTTTAAGTTCCTCAGATGTCTCTTTTTAAGAGTAAGAATGATCATCTCTTGCCAGCTTTTCTCAGTTGTATCTGCAGATACATAGGAACAGAACACTTCACATATTAATCCTTTATCTTAATAACAAAAGAAATGAGGGGTGCACATTCTGTATGTTTCCTGATGACCTGAGGGAAGCATAGAACTAAAGCCTACCTTCAGAATTCACTTCCTGTGTGTGGAAGTATGGTCTGTCTATGGGCATCATCAATTTGTTTTACATACCTTGCTTATAAAACATAGGGTGAATTCACTTTGCCTTTTTTGACACTGAACTTCTCATCTTCAGCTTACTGTAACTTTGAAAAATCCATTTAGTATGCAAGAGGTCCTTTCAAACCTAATTGGAAGTAAAGTGGCAATCTTCTGAGGTCACCTAATGCTGACTTAGCGTGACAGTATATAACCTATCTTACTCTGCAGCCCTCTCTGCACTTTGAGCATGTAAGGGAGCATGGTTTAGCAGACCATTTGTGACATCACCTCTTACAGTCATGTAGCCATCTCTAAAACTGTTCATTTCCAAGGTCAAGCTTTTACTTAAAAGTAGTCTGCCTTTCCTTTCATAAGAAAACCCAAAAACTTGATCTTCAGCTTTTCTGCAATTGAGTTCCTACATGGTTGTTGTAAACTTACTGTGTAATGAGAGCAGTTTTCTTCTTTCTCTTAATCAGAAATGGCAGAACTGCTCTCTATCGCTTAGCCTCAAGACTTTCCAGGTCACCTTTTTAGTTAATCAAAATGAAAGTTCTTCAACAGATGACTGCAACAAAATTATTTCTATGAACTGTGTGCTACCTGGACATAAACCTGTGCACATGTTGTCTAACCTTTGCATGTTCAGATTTGTACAGGTCATAAAGATGTATGTTTTAAAATTCTCTGATACCATTATGATGAACTGAATTATGTTGGGAAATCCCACTCTTTGCATCTGCAAAGAGAAACCACTTCTTAGGGTAAGTATGTTTGTAGCTTAAGAATGGATGAGCAGCTGTGGTCTTGCATGGAGAAAGGATTTGGAGGACTTGCTCTGGCTTTTTATTCCCTTCAGTGCAGTGAAGCTGTTGATCTCCCTCTCTTTTTCTCCCCAGAAGGGCAGTGCTCCATAACTGTTGTGCTGCTGCAGTAGTAGCCACAGTTGGCTCTACAGTAGCTCTGCAGGCCAGTGTGAGGGTTCATTTCCCTCTGTGCCTTTCCAGTTTATGGCCCATAGTGGACTATGTACTGGGGAAAAAATGGATTTTCTCTAGGAGAAGGGAAGCTCCAAAACAGCTGAAATATATTAATATGTTTTATGTGTTTTGTTTTTTTCTCAGCCTGATAGTGCATATCAAGGAGGAGTATTTTTTCTCACAGTGCACTTTCCAACAGACTATCCTTTCAAACCACCAAAGGTAAGTCCTTTCGTTTAAAGAAAGTTTTTTTGTCAAAATTTATACTTTGAGGCTTAATTTTGGGAGTTAAGCCAGAAAGGTGAGCAATAGTATACATGTTCAACATGAATGCAGATAAGACTAAAAAAATTGTGTTGGCAGATCTGATGACTGGAAAGGAAGGGATGATGTTAAGGATTCCAAGTGTAATAACCCTAATCTGATGTCATTTGTTATTGCAGATTGCTTTTACAACAAAAATATATCACCCAAACATAAACAGTAATGGGAGTATTTGTCTTGATATCTTGAGATCACAATGGTCACCAGCTCTGACTGTTTCTAAAGGTAAACTGATTTGATAATGCATTTATGAAGCTGCATACATTGCCATGGCACTTTTTTTGTGTATTATTGCACTGTCTTAAAGATAGCAGTGGGAACTCCTTTATCCTGCATGTTTCAGAAGAGGCAAATTCCATTGGAATTCTTGTTATGATCCAAGATCCTGTCCAGTTTATTGGGAGTGTCACATTACAAAAAAAAATGCGTACACAGTAAAGAAATATTCTAAACCAAGTTGGGTAAGATAATAAATGTACAATTAGCCTGAAATGTGATAGCTGACTGTGCATGCTGAATGGAGGATAAAGTGATGAGCAGGGCTTCTAAATGACAACTTGGAAGTAAACATGAAACCCTGATGCTGATGTTGTATGAGCTTACACGATTGCTTGTTGATGACTCTTTGGGTTGCCTGAGCATCCTTGTGTGGACTAAGGTCTTAATTACACTTTATTTTAAAATGAGATAATTTGTTCTAGTTTACATTCCCTTGTAAGATGAGTATTTTTTAAATTAAGCTCCTTTCACAGTCATCAGTAAAAGTTTCATTAAAATATTTTCATCCTGTAGTTAAACTTTCTCAAAACTTGAACACTGTAGATTTTTTGGAAGATTAATGTAACATTTAAGCAGTTCTTTTGTTGCTGGTATTTTGTGTCACTTCAAAAGCTGCTTAAAATGTGGGTGCTGTTGTTTCTCCTCACCCATCTTCAAAATGCTAAGGCACACTTAATCATATTGTGGAAATTTCTCATGTGACTCAAAAGGTCAAGCTGTATTACATCTGATGTACTTGGGAACTCTCTAAGCTATGTGCCAAAGTGTAATTGCATTGGGTGTACAAGCAAAGACAAAATGGTGGGTCTTTGTCCAATGGAATTGCTCTATGGAAGTCCAGTTGCTGTACCTCCTTGGAAAAACAACTTCTCATGCTTACAGCCCTATGCAGTAATTGCACAACCCATATAAAATTTAAGTCTAATACTGCTTCCCGAAGTCATTGCTGAAGACATCAATTACTCTTATGTGTAATTGGTATATTTTTTTCACATAAATTAGGTGTTTTATAGTTATCCAAAAATTGTCTTCTTTCTAGTTATTAAGCAAATGAAAACTGGCACTTAGGCTTAACACTTGGTATCTACAACTGAAAACTTGTAAGATTTTTAGATCATCAGCATTTTTCTATCTCTTTACTTATTCAGCACTTCTTTGGTTATAAATGTAGAGCGGTCTGCTGGTCTCATGTTCAGATATTCTGTGCTTTTAGCCTGCTTGCATTTTATGTATTTCATAAACTGGAAATTAGCTCAATGACTCATGCAAGTTTCTCCTTTTTAGTCTTTGTTTAGCTGAATAAAAAGTTTCTAGAATATTGTAGCACCTCTGACCATGTATATGACCGTATATTCTAACCTGATTTTCTAATATTATTGGCACTTAAAACAAGTCAGTATTGAAGTGGCTGAACTTTCTCCTCCTGAAAATAGGTGTGGGCTCTTGGGTAACAAGATAAAGCAGGGGGAAAAAAGGTATTCTACAGTTAATTCTTATGGTAGCATGAAGTTCCCTTTCACATATTTAGAATTATTTCACTGTGTACTCTTGTATGCATATTAATTCTGACTGTAAAAATAAAAATTGCCTGAAAAGTATGGCCTGAAAATGTTAGGAAAACAAATCAAATTTCCTTGGTTCAATACCAGGAAATTAATATGAAATTATAAGTGAATACCTGTATTTAATGCAGATCAAGTATTTCCCAAAATGGAACTCACACTTAGATAAGATGTTCTTATGACTGAGAGAATAACTGTCAGCACAGAAGTGGAAAAGGATATGCACAAATAGAGTACTGTATGGCAATGTAATATTAATAATATTAGTTACCTTAACTGCAGGTGGAAAACTTAGTTTGAGAAAATATCTATATGTAACTGTGTAGTCTGTAGTTTGGCTAATGTTCCTAGGCTAGGATGTGGGAGAGAGATCATTACAAAAGGTACAGGTTCATGTTCAAATTCCCTGGGCTTGTGTCAGGTCTTAGGCCCTAGAGAAATGATGCTGTATAAAGATTTCTGCACAGAACTGTTAAATGACAGCTTAATACTAATATGTGTTCTTTTTCCAATACCCTCCTACCACCCTCCTTCAGTATACTGGAATATATTAAAGAATTATAGAAATACAGCAAACTAACTTGTTTAATCTAGTGTCTCTTTTATTTAGTTTTATTGTCCATATGCTCCTTACTTTGTGATCCTAATCCAGATGATCCTTTAGTACCAGATATTGCACAGATCTACAAGTCAGACAAGGAAAAGTGAGTATAATATACATAATTGTGTGTGGTACTTGCAGATGTCTATCTGCTATGCACCTTCAATACTAACTTTAGCAATACTCTTTTCCTAGATTTCTACAGGATTAGCTTTTTAAATATTGAGAATAGTGATGGATCCAGTAGAAAACTATAGGCATACACAACTGTTGGTAACTGATTTTTTTTATACTTAGTTACATAAAACCTTCATGCTTCTGTGTAACAGATTTATTGCATGAGAAATCATTTTCCCAAATATTAATTATTTGTTGCTACTGCAATCCTCTGGTTGTAAAACCTGTACAGAAGATTTTTTGACCTGTTTAACTGAGATGTTTGGTACCTGTTTTTTAGTGTTGAGCCATTGAAGACTTCTTGCAGTGTATGCAGTGGCCTGTGGCTCATCATGTCACAGATTCAGGAATATTTGAGTATTGCTTTTACCTTGAGCAGTAGACAGCAAAGGAGTGATGTAGAAGTTACATGGACGTCTGTGGTCTAGTATTTCTCTGCCTAGACTAAGAATTATTAAAATGGCCTTTTCCTCGCAGTTCATTGTCTGGCATAGTCAAACCACATAACTTCTGAAGTGCTTGAATGCTGTAGTCTATTCTGCAAAGTAGGTAGTGTTAAAGTTGAGGATGTTGTGCATCAGCTTCTTCCCATTTGTGACTCAACGTTTTTCCACCCACCTACTTATTAGTGGTTTCAGCTGTTGTGCCTCCTGTTTGTGGAGGAAGTGAATGAGGGATGGTTTTCTATCTCCAAACCTCAAAATTTAATCATTGCTAGGGAAAGTGAGAAAATGTATAGTCTTGACTATAGCTTTATCTTTTTATGATGATCACCTATTAAATTTTTCTTTGTTTTTTCTTGGATTTAGGAGATAAAAGATATGGTTGGTTACCCCGTAGCATTTATCTATGAGTATTTTACTATAAGTAAAGATCCAAAGACTTGTATGGTAGCATATTCTTAAGAAAACCAATTAGTACATGAGTTGCTATACTGATCTTAAGAAAGAGTTAAAAACTTGTCAGTATTGTTCTCTGGATGACTCAAGAAAACAAATCCAGTCTAAAAAGTAGAGTGTGGTAAATGTAAGGACCAGAGGGGAAGCTATCAATTCTCTAAGGACATTTATCCTTAGGATTATGGAATTAAAAGATAATCAGATTCGTACCAGAAGGAAAAGGCTGAAGACTTAAAACCTAGTAAAAAATGCTTTTTGGAAAATTTTCTTTTCAAGTTCTGAAATGCAGCTGGCAGTGCAGAATGAAGAATAAAATCCCAGTTAATTATACTGAATTTTACGGAACCAAAATGTGTAAATTTTGTTAGACTCTTAATAGCATATGCCTTTAGGAGCAATTTGACAACAAATTCCTGTTTAGGTGCAAATAAAGGAACCAGTTGTGAAACACAAATGAAGGATGCACAATGCTATGCAATTCAATGCAAACCTGTGAAGTTGGGTTTGAGTCTGAATAGCTATGATAGGTAACCTTAGAAATTGAACGTGTAGTGGATATATACTTCTTGGCCTTTAGACCGTGTCAATGTTCTTTGACTCTGCTCAGAGGTGAAAAGCTCAGTAACACCTATATTAAGTACATAAGTGGCCATTGTCAATGTATCACTAACAGTTCTTCACTGTAATGCCTTCTTTCTGCACGTACAGATACAACAGACATGCAAGAGAATGGACTCAGAAATATGCAATGTAAACTTTTGAAGACGTTTTCATATACCACAGAGTACTGTAAAGTCTAGGTTTTTTCAAAATTATAAGGAAATGGAGCAGTTTATGGTTTCAGTGTGACACCCCTTGATTTTTTTTTCACCCATGTAAGTGTTTCTGGAGCAAGAGAGGACAAACTTCTGAAAATGACCTTATGACTTTGGTAAGAATATTTATCCTCTTTGAATGCTTTACAGAAGACATTTATTATGGTTTTTAAGAGTTGAACAGCTGCATCTTCAGACTACAAGATCTATAATTCAGTTGTAAATCAGTGAAACTATTTTTGCTGGGAAAAGCTTTTTTCATGTGATGAGTACTGTGTGTGTGTCATTGAAGTATCTTCCCTGTTTCATAAGTGTGTTCAAGTTTCTTTTTGTTAGTTCTCTTATATAATTTGTATTTTTTTTTACTGTATAGACTATTTTATTTACACTGTAAGTAATTTTATTTTAGACTTGCTTGTGCACAGTATTGACAAGGTGAAACTGCTAATAGTGAAAATAATTGGAGTATCTCACTTATTAGAATATTCTGAAGACTGACTGCAGACTTCTTAAAACCTAAAATGATCATTGCACTCTAAATCTGTGTGCTGATTATGGAGAAACACTTGGTTTTGATTCTGTTGCATACTTGACATAATTTTATCGCAATGTGAACTAGTTGCACTGATATGTAGAAATATATGTAACCATTTTATTGCTATTGACAACTGATTTTTGATGTATGGGCAACATAATACTATCACAGACCTTTTACAAATCCAGATGTAGCCCTTTCCATATAAATAAAATACATTTTCTACTTTCCCTGGCTAATTTTTTATCTTATCTAATGCATATTCTTAAAGTAATTGTTCTAACATTCTAACAGAGAATTGCCAGTAGTGTGTATGTGTCTTGTAGAGAGAATAGCCAATAAAGCCATACATCATGTACTACTTAGAACTCGTTTGCAGTTAATTTTTATCCTAGTTCTACCTTAGTGGATTTAGCATACTATGCTCATTGTTGGATATAGGATTTCAAATAGGTTAATGCAATGCTACACCAATACTCATCTGTGAAGGAGGTAATCACAAGAGTCTGATAAGGTGGTGTATTTGCAATATCAGAATGTTACAGTAAACTCACACTTGAAAGTGTGTTTTCTCCACATACTTGAAAGTAACTTTTCCATTAACTTGCACTTCAGTTGCTTCAGACTATGCATGTGGAAAACCAATAGTGCTGGAGAGGGGCAATCTGTTCTTAAAACATAGATCAAAAGCAGAAAAACTTGATTTCCTACTGTGAAAAACGAAGTTCACTCCTGTAAAATTTTAAAAAAGGTTTAATAAAGACAATAAGAGACATAAAATAAAGCAAAGAGTTATGTCCGGGTGCCTTGGCGCGCTGCCAAGAACACACCTGGTATCTTGGGAATACCCTTTTTATCCCATCCTGCTGTGAGGGTTTAATGCATATTCAAAGCATGTCCCCTCCCTGGTTCCACCTTCTTAGAATATACTCTTGCACAGTTTTATTTTCTGCTGGTCAGCATTTTTTTTGCTGGTCATCATTATTCTAGCTGGTCAGCATTATTTGAAGTTTGGTTTCCTTTCTTCTGCAAATGGTCAGTGTTGATAACAGTCCGGGCCCCTCATCCTTCCTTTGAGGGCAGCTGGGCTTCATATCTTTCCCCCCTGCCAACGTCCTGGTACCGGCTTTTTGATTACAGTTTGCTCTCCATCTCCTGCTGCTGATAATAGCCTGTTTTCCACTGTCCTTCTGTTGGAAAAACAGTTTGGTCCTCCCATTGTCTTGCCTGTTGGAGTTATCTTGCCTTGTCCGGATGAAACATATCCTTACCAGTCAGAATTCCCATCTAAGCCTATAACTTGCTAAGAGAGAAAAGAATATAGCAAAAGCATATAGCATATAACATTTATCAGAATAATTGTGAAAAGCCAATATTTACAACATGAATTCACAACACTACCATTCATTCTTCTTGGTTATTTGAAAATAAAAAAAGATGACGAAATGTTTTTCTCTGTATGTTGTACATGAAAGGAAAATTACTTTCAGCTGGGAAATTTGTCATAAAATATATTTTAAGATGAAAGATATATTTGATTTGGGGTTTTTTTGTTTGTTGTTTTTTTTATTTGAGTATGCATCAAACTGGAACATGGCATATGGGTGGTAAGTGTGCACAGTAGGAGCTTTTATTCCTACCAGTGGAATGTTAACTTAATGTTTGCTGATTTGCTGACATTAAATTGGTCACATACAGGAAAATGTAATTTCTGTGCTAGTTCTATCTGTGATGTAATGGTGATATTTGAAACAGCAAAGATTGAGACTGGTTCTAATAATCTTAAAATATCCCTATTCACTACATTTTGCAAGGTGGATAAATGGATTTTATTTTGTGAGTGCTTCATTGTACTTGAACTATGGCAATGTAGCTAGGAAGGCAAAGACATCATTTATAGTTCTTGCTCAAATTATTGTAGAAAACTGGCCATCAGAATGTGTTCACAGTTTTTATTTTTTGTAAGTAAAAATAGTAATCTGTTTGTACTAGAAGTTTAAATTTTTGGAATATGTACTGAACTGTGTGAAATCAGAAGTTTAACTTGGTTTCTTTCGGTTTATCATTTTGTCTTAGGGATGGTCTGAGAACATTTATAACTGGTAATGTTTCTGCTTTGTGCCATCCATGAATGACTTTCCATCACAGTATGAAACCAGCAGGAGGATTGAAAACCAACACCTATGTGTAAGATGTATTATTTAGCATATGTAAATATTAAAAAAGGAACTTGTCTTATATCATGCTGGTTTAGAGCTGTGAAGCTAAGTCTTTGATTCTTATGATACTCCTAACAGTTCAGCCTTTCTGCTTTTGAAATTACTGGAATTAAATGATAAATACATTATTTAAAACTTCAGTCATGCTATGAAGTGTCTGGGTTTAATCTGTGTAGAGAAACGCCTCCACTACTGCACCTTCAGAGCTCCTCCCTTAATGCTTTTTATACAAATTTTGTTTCCAGGGCTGAAAAGTTTACTTTATTCTGTGCTGTTTACTACGATGGGGGGGAGGGGGAGGGAAGAAAATATTTCTTTTTCTCCGAGAACTCGTCTGTTCTGGAGCTATGGCGTCTGCTCTTTCAGACATAACTGCGCCCAAGAGCTAGTCATTGCGAAGACAAAAAAAAAAACAGTGTAGCCGTGGAGTTAAGTTTTGGGCACACCTAATCAACAGAAATACTTAGTGGCCATTTGGTTTCTGATCTCCATTCCAGTTCCTGGCCGCATACGCCTCTGCAGGCGCACACAATGAATCTGCCTGCAGTTCACACCTCGCACGTCCGGGGGTCGGGACCGCGGCGGTCACCTTGTCGCGATCGCCCCGGCCCCGCCCCTCACGCTGCTGCCCCAGGGTGCCGCGCGCTCGTCGCGCGCAGGCGCGACGGGTCGGGATGGCGGTGGCGGCAGGCTTGTTGGGCCGGGCCGTGGGCCTGGGCTTGGTCACAGCCACGGCCACGGGCGGGCGGCGGCTCCTCCGGTGTGGGACCGGAGCGGGGCTGCGCGAGCGGGGGACGGGGGCCCTCCTCGGCGGTGCCGTTGTGTGCAAAGCCGGTGGCGCGGCGGATCAGCGCCTTTCTCGGGGGATCAGCTCGGATCAGCGCCCAAAGCGGCCCCTCACCGCCTATCTTCGTTTTGTGATGGACAACCGTCCGGCTTTTAGGGAAAAAAACCCAGGTACGAGGTTTGAGTGGAGGCGAGCTCGCGGTTGTTGATGTTGGGCGCCATGGCGCCGCCCCCCAGAGCAGGGCCATGGTCTGCGCCCCCCAAAGTGGGGTGAGCCAGGAAGCCGGAACAACCTGTCCCTTTGTAAAACTGAGCTTCGAGAACGATCCAAAGTCGTAATCTCAGAGACCCAAACCATCTGTTCATCCATACCATTCCCCAAGTGAATCTAGCATGGCCATACTCACTGCCTGCAAGTGCCTGCTTGGTCTTCCGTGCTGCAGAAGTCAAAAGAATGAACATATGTGTGTAACTTTAAAAATGCTTGATGAACTATCTCATGTAGGTAATACAATGATTTACGATTCTCAGTTATTTTTGAACTCTTATGTATTTGAAGTACATTTTTGTTGATATTATGAGCTGTGTATGATTTTACTTTGAGGCTTAGTAATTGAAAAATTGCAGGTCCTGGATTACATCCCTGTATATGGGAGAAAAAGTAAGTGTTTTTAGAGAAAAATGGTTTTCTGTGAATATATTTGATTTACTATCAAAAACTTCACTTATAGGCAATGCAGTGATCTTGCCAGAGAGCTGCAGAATAGAAAGATCTGGTTTTAAAATACTGTTGAAGGTTAAAATGTTTAAAGAACTATGGTCATATTGGGCAAGATTTAAGTAGGTAAAACCATTTGATACCCTTTTTAGCTTACTAGTTCAAGAGTTCCACACTCTCTTAGGTTGGTACCTTAACTATCAGAGTATATTGTATTTACATACCACACCAGTGTTTTCCACTTTTCCAAAATTGAATAATCTGCCAGTAAACATACTGGATCTGATATACAAATTGAGAATTTGGGGATTTCTAGTTCCAAGATAGGTAGTGGTCAAAAATAACCCCATAATTTATTCTCTTTTTCAGTGGTCAAAGCATCATATTTTCAAAGGTTTTGAGGTTGATCTACTTACACTAAAACCTTCCAGTTGCCTTGTCTTTCCAGAATTCTGAAAGTCAGGTCACTGAGAAGAGCTTAATTATGCTTTTCCATGAGGTGGTTGAGCTTTGTCTGAGCGGGGAGAAGAAGCTTGTCTGTTTTTTCTTTTAGTATGAAGTAGAGGGAGAGCCTGGAAAGGATTTTTCAAGAAAAGAAAACCCTACATCCTCTTTGCACCACACTTGGGTTTGTTTGGGGGTTTGTTTGCTCGGGGCTTTTTTGTTGTTGGTTGGGTTTTAATTATTCTTTTCCCCTTTGCAAATTCAAGTCTGGCTGGAAGTCTCATCAAATCACCCTAGTGTGAGAGCCAGAGGCAAAGACAGTCAATCAAAAACCAAAGTAGACTAAAGTCACTAATTTTGTTTGTTTGAGGAGGAAATTATTTTTTAAACTTCATTTGAATGGTATTGTAAGTAAAGGATAATAAAATCAAAGTACATGTGCTATATCAAGTGGATGAAGTCGCATTATGCTTGAATGAAGAATTCAGCAGACTCTTTTTGCTAAAAAACTTAGAACTGGAAATTTTACTTTTGGTTTCTTCTCTGCTCCCCCCTACAAATTCAGACCGTCTTGTGTTGTATAGAAAAGGATCCAGCTCAAAAGGCAAAAAATATTAAATTTTTGTGGAGTAATAATAGCTGCCTTAAAATGGTGCTTCAGTTTATAACTGTGTGTTATGTTCCAGATGAGCAGTGACTCTTCCCCATCCCCCAAATATTGTAGTGCCCTTTAAGTGCCACAGTGAGTTAGTTTTATGAAAGGATGAAAATGCATTTGTACAGGAAGATGATACCTGTGACAGCTTTCCCTGGGAAAAAGTGAAGAAGTTTACTAAAGATATAATGCTGATCTTTATTTCTGGGCTTTCTCATTTTAATGTACAGAAGCGAGCAACCTGGAACTGATTAAAAAAATAGCAGGTGCATGGAAGGAGTTGCCAGCTTCACAGAAGCAGGTATGGTTGTATCCTTTCCCTGAGTACTTTGAACTCTACAGGTGGTGGGGTTTTATTTGATTTGGTGTCTTTTGTGGTTTTTTTGTTGAGTCTGGTGGGTTGTTTTGGTTGGTTGGTTTGTTTTTAAAGGGCTTGAAAAAGCACATGTACAAAGGTTCAGGCATCAAAACAATTGGGAGAATGGAGAGCTTTGAATAACTCAAGGGAGGTGTGGTGGGGTGGCCCTGGCTGAATGCCAGGTGCCCACCAAAGCCACTCTTGGTTGCTCTCTTCAGCTGGGTGGAGAGAAAAAGCAAAACATTTGTGGGTCAGAATAAAGCAGGGAGAGGTCCCTCAGCAATTGCTGTCGGGGCAGAACAAACTTCACTTGGGGAAATCAGTTTATTACTGATTAAATCAGACTAAGATAATGAGAAATAAAACCTTGTATCCTATTACCCTTTTCCCCCTACTCTCCCCTCTTCCCAGGCTCAATATCACTCCGAATTTCTCTTCTTCCTTCTGACAGCAGTGCAGAAGCATAGGGAACGGGGGCTGAGGTCAGTCCATCATGTGTTGGACTGACCTCAGCTGCTCCTTCCTGTTCAGTGGGAGAACTTGGGGTCTGTCCCCCAGGGGACAATCCTCCATGAACTGCTCACAATGTGAGTCTTTCTCATGGACTGCAGTTCTTCATGAACTGCTCCAGCATGTGTCCCTTTCCATTGGCTGCTGTCTTTCAGGAACAGGCCGCTCTATTGTGGGTCCCCCACAGGGTCATAGCCCCCTCTATGCCTCCCCCTGCTCCAGTGTAGTCTCCATGGGCTGCAGGTAGATCTCTGTTCCCCATGGTCTGCAGGGGCACAGCTGCTTCACCATGGGCAGCACCCCAGGCTGAAGGGGAACCTAAACTGGTGCTTGGAGCATCTCCTGCCTCTCCTTCCCTGACCTTAGGATCAGTAAAAATGTTCTTCTGATATGGTCTGCCTCCTTTCTCTGGCTGAAGTTGTGCAGTTTTCTTCACTTTCTTAACAGTTATCCCTGAGGTGCCACCACCATACTGATGGCCTCTTGGGTGTGATGTAGTAGTGGATGCCTCTTGGAGCTGGCTGCCCTTGGCTCCAAGACATGGAGCAGCAGACATGGCAGCTTCTCATAGAAACCATCCCTGTACCCCCTTCGCCACCAAAATCTAGCCATGCAAACCCAATACAGGAAGACACTTTGCTACTTGTACTTGAACTTGTACATGACCTTGACTTTAACAGTTTTAATCTGTTGCCAGAGAAATGACAGCTGTCTTCCATGTAACTGTAGGGCTGCAAACCAATTATTTCTCCTTTTTGAATGGCAGTATTGCATTACATGTATAATACAAGTTTTGTAAAGTTGTTCTGCTCTCATGTATAAGGTAGGTGAAACCTCAGTTAATTTTGAAGAAAGGACCAACTTCTTTTACTTCATGTAAATTTCTTTTAAGAGTCAACAAATTAAGTCATAAGTAGTGAAGTTTCTGTGAGTGGCAGTTTCAAGGGATAACATAAAGCAGCAACTCTAGGACTTGCTGATCATTGCTGAATTTAAGTGCTATTTATAGCAAAGTAATGATTTTTCTTCCTTGACTGCAGTTAGCAATTAGAGACAGGACTAAATTCTGTTTTCTAAAGGAAATACCTTTGTTCAGTAGAATTGAGGTGCTCTCACATCCCTTCTGGACTACACTCTGTGTACCTTTCCTTTTGTGTCTCTGAAATGTAGAACAGCAAATCAAACATGAAAATCTGATGTTCTGGTGTAATTTTTTTAATCTGTAATTTTCTGCTCATGGGGTAGAATTGTTAGCTTGTCTAATGGTTAAGTGCTTCTGACTGAAAGCATCTTGCTTAAGTTTAACACTGGTGGTGGTTTGTGTTGTAGGTTTATGAGGAAGCAAGAAAGACAGACTGGAAAAGATACGGAGAGCAGATGGCCGCTTATAAAGCCCAACTGACTTCAGCCCAGGCTGCAGCTTTGAAAGAGGAAAGAAGAAAACAATTGGAAAAGAGAAAATCGATGAGGGCAAAAAGAGTAAGTATTTTGAAGTTCAGGTTTCTTTTCTCTTAAGGAACTTGAAGTCTGTTTGTCTAGTATACAAAGCAGAGTTGAAGCATGTTTTAGAAATACAAAAGCAGCACAGAATAGGAGAAAACACACAAAAAACACAAATCCCCCAAAATGCCGTGCACTAAAATAATTACTGGTGTTAGCAGTTATTTTAGTGGCTTTCCCATGCTTGAAGAGCACAGAACTAGCATGGATCTTTGTTCCTAGAAGTAGCTTCTCTATGTTTTTTTTCTCCCTGTTTCTAGAGCTGCCAGTGAAAGGATAGACACTAAAAGACATTTGGACCAGCAACATTTTCTTTGGTTGGGAAGACATCCAGAAATGGATTTTTACAGAGACCTTGTATCTGTTAGCTGATGAGGTCCTACAAGCTAGCAGCTGTTTGAAGTAGCCTTTTTTCCTTCCTGTTTTGGGCTCTGTCACTGTGTAGCTGCTGCTGTGACATATATTTGTGTCCTTTACTAGCATATTCATAAGGACCTTCTTCCCTATTCCTTTTTGGCTGGTTTATGTATAAATCCTTAGAGACAGAACCATCTGTAACAGTACAGTATTATGGTTTGTCTGGAAAAAAATCAAAGGGGTTATGTATTGTTTATTTATTTCTTTGAATTAAACTGTGACATTGCTCTCATCAGCAAAAGCAAAACAAATTTGGTTTAAAAGACCCCTAGTTAGAGGGAATTTTTAATCTTAATGATTCTGCTGTGACTCGATCTTCTCGAGTGTGGCCCGGCTAGCTCAGTGATGAGGTTTCTCTTCACTCGAGTTTCAAGCCAGCATATGTTTGTGGGGTTCACTGATTTTCTTCAAGAATCCAAGTCTATAGAGCGAGTAAAGAAATCAGGGGGGGACTCTCTCTCTGGTTTGCATTCCACAGTTTATTTCTGTGAAGGGGAATCCAAAGGATGAGAGACAAAGGATTTGGGGTCTGGGGGGGTCTCTTTTAACAGGGTTTCTCGGAGGGAGGGAACATCAGAGAGGGAACCAATTATTTTCTCAGTTAGTACATTTTACAAACTTTCTACAAATCAAGGTTACACACGCCAAGATAAAAAATAACAGACACCAACTTCTTCAAATGCCCACAAAGGTGTGGGAGTATTCTATACAGAGGGGCAGAGGGGGAGAGAGGGGGGGCCTGGTTTCCTGGCAACACAGGGGGGAAAGAAAGGGAAGGCAAGGTAAGCATGCCCTCTCAGCTTCCATAGTTTAGAGGCATTCTGGGACAGGAAAAAGTTACAAACTTCCGTGTAGGAAAGAAGAGTTCTCTTCTCCCAACCCCGTGCTTTCCTGGGCTAAAGAAACTTCAAGCAGCTGGAAATGCCAGCGGGGTCCTCTCTTTACTCTACCCGGCCTCTCGCCGTGGGGCTGAGGAGAGAAACTTCAGTAACCATGGTAACTTGACGCCAGGTAAACAGGAGAAAGAGAAGCTGGGGGGGAATCACAACTAAAAGATGGGAAAAGATACATTTCAGGCTATCAACTACAACATCTCCCCCTAATTTTTTCCAAAAGAAGGAAGGGAACTTGGTTTTACTTCTTCAAACCAAGGGGAAGGGGTTTGGGGTGTATTGGGATTTGGGAATTCCACAGCATTTATCTGAGGTGCAGGAGAAATTAACTTGGTGGTGGTGGTAACACACCAACGTTGCAAAACAGAAAACATAATCAAAACAACAACAACAATTGCAAAAAACCCTAAAACAGTCCAGAAAACAGAAGACAGCCATCCCGAAAATCCCCATCCTGAGAAAATGTCTACAAAACTGTCATACTGAGGATGGTTTCTTCTTAAAATACAGGTAAACAAGGAACAAAAACCATTAGCTAAATTCATCAATAAACAGATTCAACAGTGGAAAGTCAGGGTAGAATGGAGAATCTGGATTTCCTTCTCCACCCAAATACCTGTTTGTTCTTTGAACTTCTGCTACTGAAATATCGGGGGGTCTTGTGGGATGTTTTTCAATGTACGGTTTTACCCACCTCTGTGGGACCCACCGCAAACCCAGGGGTGTTGATACACAAGCGTATCCTCTTCCCCATGTCACTAATTTGTAAGGACCTTCAATTTTTCCACTCTCAGGGTCTCTCATCAGCACTGGTGGATGTTCCTTGAGCTTGTGTTTGCCATGAGGGGAGAAATGCTTAACCACTGGGGGGTTTTGATCTTCCATAGAACAGTTTAAAAAATTGAGAGTGAACAGGGCTTTGCATAATCTTTCCTGTGGTGTTAACTTTACTTTGTTTTTCCATTGATTTTTCAAAACTCTTTTGAGTGACTGGTGTGCTCTCTCTACTATTGCTTGACCTGTTGGAGAGTGGGGGATTCCTGTCTTGTGTCTCACTCCCCATTCCTGCAAAAATTCCTTAAACACTTTGGAAATATATGCTGGTCCATTATCTGTTTTAATTTCTTTAGGGATTCCTAGTACAGAAAAAGCTTGCAACAGGTGCTTTGTGGCATGCACACCTTTTTCTCCTGCATGGGCTGAGGCAAAAATTGCTCCCGAGAAGGTATCAATGGATACATGTACATATTTTACCTGTCCAAATTCAGGGATGTGTGTTACATCAGTTTGCCATACTTCACAGCTTTTCAGTCCCCTTGGATTGACTCCAGCACCCAGGGATGGCAGAGCTGTGCGCTGACAGTGGGGACATGTGGCCACAATGGCTTTGGCTTGATCTCGTTTCAGATTAAACTGTCGAATCAAACCTGGTACATTCTGATGAAACATTTCATGGCTTAATTTTGCCTGTTGAAACAGGTCAGGGAGTCTGGCCAGTCCAACAGGGGCAGCAGCCAGGGAATCAGCTCTGTCATTCCCTTCTGCTATGAAACCAGGTAATTCCATGTGCGACCGGGTATGCATAACAAAATAGGGATGTTCTCGATGGGAAACTGCATAAATTAATTTTGAGAGCAATTCAAACAAAGTTCTGTTTGAGATCTCCTTGAGGACTGCATTTTCTGCTCTGGAAACTACTCCTGCTACATAAGCTGAATCAGTGACCAAATTGAATGGTTCTGAAAACCTCTCAAATGCTCTAACCACTGCTGCTAACTCAGCAATTTGAGGGGATCCTTCTACATAATCAACATCTGTTTCCCACTGCTGCGTCTGAGGATCCTTCCAGGTCATTACTGACCTTCGGGATGCTCCAGAAGCATCAGTAAAAACAGTCAAAGCTTCAAGGGGCTTCTGACTCCTCTTATCTTTTGGTACCAAATTAAATTTTGAATTAAACAATTTGTGTGCAGGGGCATGAACTGAAATCTGCCCAGTAAAATTCTCCAGAGCAATTTGCAGGGTCTCTTGATTCCTCAAGAGGTGCTCAAACATTTCCCTGGTCATCTTCACTGAGGAGGTTTCTTCCTCAGAGAGGCTTAGGGGCAAATGTATACATGAAAAATCACAGCCAGCAAGTTCTCTCATTCTCAGCCTGGCCTTTCCAACCAGCTGGGCCATCAATTCCTGTGGCCTTGTAATATTTTTGGACCGATGGTGACTGAGAAAGACCCACTCAATGATTATCAAATGGTCTTTCTGGTCCTTGTCCCACTGAAAAATCAACCCCTGAAGGTGTGGCAATTTCCCCATTACAATAAATTTGAAAGGCAGCTCTGGATGGCATCTATGTGCCTGTCTCTTCTCCATCATGCTGCTTACCTTCTCTAAAGCATCCCTGGCTTCTGGAGTCAGAGTCCTTGGAGCACTCAGCTCATCTCCCCCTTTCAATAAATTGAAAAGAGGGGCTAGGTCATCAGTGGCAATGCCTAGCCAAGGCCTAACCCAATTCAATGTTCCACACAGAGAGTGCAAGTCGGCTAAGGTTTTGGGATTGCTGTTAAAAGCTAATTTTTGAGGAACAATTGTTTTTGCAGTGATTTCCAGACCTAGGTATTTCCAAGGAGGCATCTTTTGTACTTTTTCTTCCTGAAGGGTGAGTCCTGCAGTTGTTAAAACTTCGGTCACCCGGTCCAGTGTGGACTGGAGCAATTTTTCCTGGGGGGCACACACTAGCACATCATCCATATAATGCAGGATAATGGCTTCCCCCACCTCAGCTCGCACAGGGGATAACAAGGCAGCAACATACCATTGGCAAATCACAGGTGAATTTTTCATCCCTTGGGGGAGGGATTTCCAATGAAACCTTCTCATTGGGGCTTCTCTGTTGAGGGAAGGCACAGAAAAAGCAAACCTGGGGGCATCGATAGGGTCTAGAGGAATTTTGAAAAAGCAATCTTTGATGTCAATCACAGCCAATTCCCAATTTTGAGGAAGCATGGCAGGAGACGGCATCCCTGGTTGAAGAGGTCCCATGTCTACAATGACTTTGTTAATTTCTCTCAGATCATGAACTAATCTCCACTTGTCTTTCCCTGGCTTTTTAATGACAAACACAGGGGAGTTCCAAGGGCTAAAAGTAGGTTCAATATTGCCTTGGGCCAATTGCTCATCTACTAACTCGTTTAGCGCCTTTAATTTCTCTTTACTCAGCGGCCACTGGGGTATCCAAATTGGGGAATCTGTGGTCCATTCTAGTTTCTGGGTCTGGCGCTTCTCAGTGGCCGCAATCAAAAATCCCGAGGTGTTTTCGGAATTTCAATGCGGACTCCCCATTGGGACATGACATCTCTTCCCCACAGGGGAACCTGGAAATCAGTGACAATGGGGCGAATAGATGCTATTTGCCCATCAGGTCCTCTAATCTGAATGGGTTCCTTTGATATCTTGGCCAATTGGGCTCCCCCTATACCTTGGATGTGGCTAACCATCGGTTGCAGTTCCCATTGTGGTGGCCATCTCCTTTCAGGGATGACAGTCACATCTGCTCCTGTGTCTATCATGCCTGTCATTCCCATGCCTTCACTACCTTTTTTCAAATGGCATGAGATGATGGGTTTGTTTTCTCCCACTGCTTGAGCCCAGTAGATCTGAGGTGCTACATCATCTACTGGGATCCCTGATGGAATGGGAATAGCTTGAGCAATTACCTGCCCTTGTGCCAGGTAGAATGGTGGGTTGATGCACCGTGCCAAAAGGATGAGTGCATCCAAGTCAGCTGAAAGAGTGACAGGAGAAATTTCAATCTCTGGGGGTGTGTTTTTTGTGTCCCCAATAACAAGAAACTTACAATTCAAGTCGGGGGTCAGTTTTTCCCTCAGCGGGTCAACGGAAACAACCGTCCAGTGGCGAGACCTAAAAAATTGATCTTTCACAGTAAACAATTTGAGAGGTAATTTTGGCTTCCAAACCTCACAACCATTGGTGTTATTTCGGTGGCAGAAGTCAGACCTGTGAGAAACGTCACATTTAAGAGTGTTATCACATTCAATTTTCCCTCCCCCTGCGACTTCTATTCTACTTGTGTCTCTGCGCGGAATAGACTCGCGCTGCGTATCTAGTTTTTTTGGTTCTGAGGACCCCCTCCCTTTTCCAAGTTTCCTTGCCCTTGCTTGTTAGGATATGGCACTTGGCAGAACTTTGCAAAATGTCCTGGCTGTCCACACCGATGACAGGTGAACGCTCCCTTCGGCTTTGCTGGTGATGGCAGAGTAGGTACAGTTGTGGCTGCAATCCTTCCTGGGGTTCTTTGGGAATCCTCAGTCCTTGGCATTGAAGTGCTGATTACATCCGTACACATCTCGATCAAAGTTGTCAAGGTCGGTGGTGGATCTTTCGGCAGCACCCGAATCAGTGCTTTGCAGGCTTCATTCGCATTCACTCGAGCCATTTCCAACAGCAAGTCAGAGTGCAGGGTGGTATTCTGCACTTGTCTTTCAATCTGTACCTTTAATCTATTCACAAAATCTACAAATCTTTCATCAGAACATTGTTTAACTTGAGCATAGGGAACAACAGATTCAGAAAGAGGAATATTGAAAAATGCTTTCTCTGCAGCCTTCTTTATTTTCTCTCTAACTCCTTTTGGCAAATTTTGGGCTTGGTCAATAGGTTCGCTCCAATCACCTTCACCACATAAATGATTCATGGTAATTATTTTACCCGTTTCATCTAAAGCTTCAAAATCACTGCTCAGTAATTCTCCCAAAAGGGTTTTCAACAATCTTTTCCAAGCCCCTTCCCAGAGCAAATATTCTCCTGGGGATAGAAGGCAGGAAAACAAATCCTTCAAATCATGGGGGACCAATTGGTTGGAGGAGAGGGTTGCCTTTAAAAGACTTTTAAAAAATTGGCTTTCCTTTCCAAACTCTTTTGCTGCTTTGCATAATTCCATTTTCAATCGAAATGACATTGCATTCCATTCTGGTAATGTTCCTCCCCTCCCATAAGTTACAGGTGCTGCAAAGAAGGCAGGCCTCTGTTCCTGGTTTGTCCCTTCACTCCCTCCCTTCTCCACACTGTGTGAGCTGGAGGGAGTGACCTGGGAGCCAGCAGCAGAGAGAGGGCAGGCGGGGTTGCAGGGGGGGTAGGAGGGGTCAGGGGCGGGGTGCCTTGGGAGGGAGACACCCCTGAGGGGTGGGGCGGAGGCAGAGGAGGGAGGGTCTGGAGGACCAGGAGGGGGGAGGTCTTGAGGGAGGAAAGGGTTGAGGGGGGGAGGGGCAACAAAGGGATTGTGGGAAGAAGAAGCAACCTGGGGGTTGACCATGTGCTCGCCACCATTTTGAAGTTCCTGGGCCCTTTGTGTAACACTTGGGGGGAGGCTCACCATGTGGTCTCCTCCATTTTGTGTACCCAAAAGACCACCAGGAACAAGAGGAGAGGGATATTGAGGGTAAAGAGGGGTAGGAGAGGGAGCTGGGATGGGTTTTAGGGAAAGGTTTCCAACAGCTTGGCCAGAGCTCCTGGAACAGGGGTGCTGAGAGGACTCCCCCAGCTTAGGGTAACAGGGTTGAGGTAAAGAAACAGGGTTATCAGGGTTAGGATTGGATAACCTTTTTTCTTCTTTTTCAATAAGGGTTAGTCTAATCAAAACAAACAAATGGATTACTTTCTCTGCTGAACTATCTCCAGCATTCACAGATTCAGTCAATTTTGTCCCCACTCTGTTCCAAAAGGAAACAGAAGTTACATCTGCAGGAGACACTTGAGGAAAATTTAAAAAAACCCAATTCACTAATTTTTTCACTTTTTTCTTAGAAAACGGTTTCTCTCCAATTTGCAAAATGCCAATCACTTGATTAAAAATCCCCCTTTGTGCTACAGACAGTCTTGCACCCATCTCTGTGATCTCACCTGTCCGTCGCAGCTATTTCACCAACGGCTCCAAACTGCTCTGCATCCAGAAGTTTCACCTGGGATGGGACTCTTCTCTCACCCACTCCCTCTTCACCACTTCCCCCCTTTGGGGAATTCAGTCTTCTGAATGCTCCTGCCGTTGTCTCGCTCTCAAAAGCAGCCCCTCGGTGCACAGGGGTTCTTGCTTTTCTCCCCAACACGTCTTCCACTTAGAACAGCGAAGAGACGCTTCTGGGGTAGATGTCGTCCCAGCGGTGGTCAGAATCTCACCTTCCGTGGTTCTTCTGTCCCCTTTGTTGAGGGACAGGCCAGCCTCACGTTCTGGGCGTCATCTGACTCGATCTTCTCGAGTGTGGCCCGGCTAGCTCAGTGATGAGGTTTCTCTTCACTCGAGTTTCGAGCCAGCATATGTTTGTGGGGTTCACTGATTTTCTTCAAGAATCCAAGTCTATAGAGCGAGTAAAGAAATCAGGGGGGGACTCTCTCTCTGGTTTGCATTCCACAGTTTATTTCTGTGAAGGGGAATCCAAAGGATGAGAGACAAAGGATTTGGGGTCTGGGGGGGTCTCTTTTAACAGGGTTTCTCGGAGGGAGGGAACATCAGAGAGGGAACCAATTATTTTTCTCAGTTAGTACATCTTACAAACTTTCTACAAATCAAGGTTACACACGCCAAGATAAAAAATAACAGACACCAACTTCTTCAAATGCCCACAAAGGTGTGGGAGTATTCTATACAGAGGGGCAGAGGGGGAGAGAGGGGGGGCTTGGTTTCCTGGCAACACAGGGGGGAAAGAAAGGGAAGGCAAGGTAAGCATGCCCTCTCAGCTTCCATAGCTCACAGGCATTCTGGGACAGGAAAAAGTTACAAACTTCCGTGTAGGAAAGAAGAGTTCTCTTCTCCCAACCCCGTGCTTTCCTGGGCTAAAGAAACTTCAAGCAGCTGGAAATGCCAGCGGGGTCCTCTCTTTACTCTATCCGGCCTCTCGCCGTGGGGCTGAGGAGAGAAACTTCAGTAACCATGGTAACTTGACGCCAGGTAAACAGGAGAAAGAGAAGCTGGGGGGGAATTACAACTAAAAGATGGGAAAAGATACATTTCAGGCTATCAACTACAACACTGCTGATCCTTTTTAGAGTATGGCACCACAAGGAATTCAGTAGGCATATCTAATATATAAGCAGATGTTAATTTTACAGCACCTAGGCTCCAGTCAAAATGTCAGGACTGGGGAAAATAGGAAGTGTAATTGCATCTATAACTTGCTGTACTTTCATTCTCTAGCCACCAGCCCTGTAGGCAAAGCATTCTGATAGTAGAAACACAGTTCTCTTCTACCTTCTTACCTCCAACAGATGTTTGCCCTCTTCTCTGCACACAGGCAGTATTTCACTTCAGAAACTGAAGCCTTACTGAAGAATAATAGAAAACCTGTCATCATTACTTTCTTAGAGTTGAATTTACAGAGTAGCACTGTTTGTTTCTGGAAGACTTAAATGAAGTAAGAATCAGTTTTAAATGCTTTTACAACAACTTGTGCAAACTCAAGTTGTTAGCTTTTTGTAGTTTAACATTAGTCTTGAAAAGCACTTGAAGAGCATCTTGACATACAGTCCAGTTTACACAATAAAACACCAAAGGAAGAGTTTGTGTTTGATTTTTGTATAAAATATAAAGATAAATGCTGAGTTTAGTTTTGGAACAAATTCATGCTTGGTTGATGGAATAACTTCTCTTCCTGTTTTTTAGGAATTGAATCTGCTTGGGAAACCTAAGAGAGCTCGTAGTGGCTTTAACATTTTCCTGTCAGAAAATTTTCAAGAAAGTGAGGGAGCTTCACCTGTGGTAAGCCAGGAAAGATTATTTTTCTAAAATATAACCATTGTATTCAGAAAAATCTACTTTAGATTCTGTCATTTTCAAAGGTATTGTTCAGTAGTTCACTATCTGGATGCTGCATTGCTTAGGTTATTTTTTTTAAGCTGAGGCGATCTGGCTATACTGCTAGCATGGCCTGTATAAAGTGCTATGTGGGTATACAGACTTCAAACAATTTTTTTGCACTTGATTGTTACGGACTTTATGTGTTCCTTTTGTAAGAAGAATTATTCTTGCCTTAGTTTTGATGTAGTAATTCAGTTTTTCAGGGAGTTGTGGTGGTGTGCTCCTGTTCTGGCAGTAGCAGTTTATTGTACCTCCTATAGTTCCATTGGTGTTATGGAAATACATTATTTTCTCAGCAAACTCACAAATTTGCACTAAACTATGATTTGGGATGATGTAAGTTACACTGGTGGATTAGTAGCACTTGAAGTGCTAGAAACCCACCCTGTGTGCCTCACGTGCTCCTTACCCTACACATTTAGTCAGTAGGTCAGGATGGTGGATATGGTTTGTTCCTCACTTTTCCATGTACAAGGCAGGTTTTTTCAGTCAGCTGTGGCCCACACTGTAAATGTGGCCTAAATGATGCCCAGGAGCTTGTGTTGAACTATACAGATTATTATTTACTTATATTAAAAGGGTAAATAAGGGGAAGCAAGCTTTTGTGACTTTGTGCTTTTTTGCATTGGTTTGTGCTTGACTTTCCCTCATGCAGTATTCATCTGTACTTCTCTGAAGTCAGTCTGCTCTTAAAATATCTCTCATATATTACATGTTCTGTATCCCCTAGGCAAAGCTGAAGAAACTATTTGATACATGGCAGAAACTGTCTACTTCCCAAAAGCAGGTATGTCAGAGGATTTAGATGAGGCTCTGATATAATCAGAATTAAAAACTTGAGTCAAAATTGATAAGTTCATACAAAATCTTGAAGTCAGTTGCTCAAAATATAATACTGAGGAAAATACTCCAAGATTTTCATGCATCTTGATAACCTTTATTCCAGTGGTGGCTATTTAATTCAGTGTTGTTGAAATGTGAGTCAGTGGGATAGGATGGAAGTTTGGTGTGCCTTAAAGTGGATGCTAAGCAATATCTAGAAGAAGGTGGAATAATATGCAATAATTTGATTTTTTTCTAATAATCCATAATATCTCTAAACACCAGCATAAGAATTTGCTGCTCATGGAAAGACTTCTTACAAGGGAAAGTAACAAAAATCTACAAGTGATGTGTACAGGGTAATTTATTAATTTTGGTTGTCTGGGGGATAATTTTCTGCCAGCTTTCTCAGTATATTGAACTACGAATCTGCAGATGAGCAAATCGGAAGTGGAGGGATGCTGTACTGAAATCTAAACTAAACCTTGACATTTTCAGGTATTCTGTACTCTACTGTCCTTCCTCCTGAATGCCCTTCTTCCAGGTGTTTTTTAATGTGTACTTAGGACACACCCTAGATCCATATTCTTACTGTAGAAAAAGAATTTTAAATAGTTCTACAACTGTACCTATTCCTATGCCTCATGTAATCTAGCTGTCTCAAACTAGTGCTCAAATAAAAAATTTTAACTGTTAGTAGCAGTACTGAATACATTTCCTCTTTGGGAATGGCCAGCTGTTGACATAACTGCAATTTAGTGCTAAAGCTTTGTATTTTTCTGCCCATTTGATTTTTTTTTTTTTTTTCCAATTAGCTAGGAGTGAAAGCAAACGCCTGGGCTGTTCACTGCACAGGTGCTGTTCTAAGTCACCTTTGTGTCGTAGCAGTTTTTCAGAAAAAGCCCCTTCTGTAACTTCTTGACACCTTATTTTCTTTCAGCCATACTTGCAGCTTGCTGAAGATGATAAGGTTCGGTATGAGAATGAAATGAAATCATGGGAAGCAAAAATGATTGAACTGGGACGTGAAGACCTGGTGCGTTCCAAAAAGCAAAGGCTAAAAAAGAAACCTGCTGAAACTGCAAAGCAAGCTGAAACAAAAAAAAAATCTTCCTCAGGTGGAAACAAGGCAAAATTAAAAAAATCTGAAGAATAAAAAAATCCCCTTTAGTTGTCCTATTTCTGTCCTGCTGTGTTAATGCTGCAGTCAGCATTAGCACTGAAATCTGGAAAACCCATGAACGGCCCTTTGGAAAGGTGATCAGGTAAGAGAGGCGTTACTGTCTCTCAGAACTGACTGAAATAATCACTGTGGATATAGCCTGACCGGTAAAACAGCAATCAATCAATAAAGCTGTGAATACTGATACCCACTGACATCAGCAGAGCTCTCCAGTAATGGTACATAATATCCAGCTTTTATAAGTTGTTTTTTTTAAATGAAAAAAATAAAAGAGATTCTTTCCTTATGAAAGAATATTCTGTACAGTTACCATCTAAATTCTGTAAATGAGCTGAAATCTGAGTTAACACTGCTGTGTTTTATTCCCTCCTTGTTATTGCTAGTGAGATGTTCTACATTTCAACCATAGGCACAAGAAATGTAAAATGCTAGCTTTTATTTTATGCATTTGTCGTTGTATCTGTTAATCTGTGTATGCCATTTATATTGCATTTAAAAACCATATGAGTTTTGTATGAACATACCTTTATTGGGCTTTTATTTCCTGGTTTTGTTTGGATCCATACAAATGTTTTTGTCTTGCTGTTGTCACATTGGGATGGCCTAGAAGAAAAAATGAAAATGTGAACCGTTTGGACTTTTGAGTTTTGGTGTAATAAATACACATATTTTAGAGGTGGTTGGTTTCTTTCCTGTGGTCTCTCCATCTTAAAGTAAATAGGTATTTTGAGGAATCTGTTTTTAGAACACAGGACAACTTTTTCACTGTTTGATGGATCTCATCTATTCTGAGTGATCCACAAAATAATCATGGAATTCTAGGAAGGCTTGGGTTGGAAGGGTTCTTCAGGATCACATGGTTCCCACATTCCTCCCATAGGAAGGGATGCCTCTCGCTAAATCAGGTTGCTCAGGGCCCCATCCAACCTGGCCTTGGACACCATCACCTAAAAAATGGGGTTTTTCTCAAACCCTTTGTGCTTGGTCAGTTTGTCAATGCCCAGCGGTTGACTGCAGAAATAAATTTGAAGCAATTAGAGATGAATTCTGCCAGTGCAAACCAGCTCAAGCTAATGATTCAGTGCACATAGAATCACAGAATATCCTGAGTTGTAGGACCCATCAGCATCATGAAGTCCAGCTCCTGGCTCTGTACAGGACACCCCAGGAATCCCCCCCTGTGCCTGAGAGTGTTGTCCAAACACTACTTGAATACTGACAGGCTCGGTACCCTGACCACTGCCCTGGGGAAGCCTGTTCAGTGCCTAACCAGCCTTTGGGGTAAGAACCTTTTCCTGATACCTAACCTAATCCTCCCTGACACAGGTACAGCTGGTCCCTCAGGCCTTGTTACTGGTCACAAGAATGAAGAGATTGGTACCTACCCCTCCAATGCCCCTTGAGGATGTTGATGACCTCAGTATGGTCTCCCCTTCAATCTCCAGTTTTCCAGGCTGAATAAACCAGGTGACTCAGATGTGCTAAGGTCTGCGCATCAGGCCTCAGCCAGAGTTGACTTACTAGATAAAACCTTACGTGACTGACACCACCAGTATTATTTAGCTAAAAATAGAATGAGACACACTAGCTGTTTCACACAAGCCAGCTGCTTTAGAAACTTTCACATAACCTTGTGTAGTTAATTGCAAGAAATGTATCATTTTAAGAAATTTTCACAACTGACATGAATAGGCTTACTTGTAGGATATTTTAGGGGAAACCCTCCCAATCAAGGCCTGGGCTTTGGCCAAGCCCTGCCCCTGCTGGATGAGAAGTATGCCATCAGACCCATGTGCTCCCACACTAAAAATATAATCAAGTCACTTCAGCTTACTGATTTGGACCCACTTTCAGGGCAAATTCAGACACCTCACCTGTGGGTGGACAAACCACACAAGAGTTTCTCAATTGCTGGGAAGGGTTCTCCAGGTCCTCACTGCAAAATGGGGCTCCCCAGAGAACACGGACTCTGGATGATTGTGGACTATTTGGGCAATTGGTGATATATCTTAATCACTGTTCTTTCCTTTCTCTCATATAGTAGTGATTAGGTGCATTACCTTGCTTATTCTTCCTTGTTGCTAAAGCCAGGTGTGCTGTTTTATTCAATATATCATTTTACTTTTGTATTGCCTTAATATTCATAGTAATATAAGACCATTCTTTCTATTGGTGCTGGGTCCTCTAAATCACCCCTGTCAATTGGCAAAACAGCCTCTCCTCATAAGGCTTCCCTTGCAGATCCTTCACCATCCTTCACATTCTTATGATGCTCTCTGATAAATTAATGTCTTTTTTGTTCTATGGTGTGCAAAACTGCCCCCAAGGTCTCAAGGTGAGGCCACATCAGTGCAGAGTAGGGTAGGACAATCACCCCCATGGAGGAGAATACAGGTTCAGCCTGTTGGCTTGCTGCAAAAGTTAGACTGGAGTCTTCTCTGACATCCCTTCCCACTATAGCTATAATTACACTATTTTCTTTGAGGAATGGGAAAAAGTGAAGTTACAGTTGATGCAATTGTATGTTTCTCTTGGTGTTCCTGCTTCAAAGGGGTGCATACAATTCTGTCCCTGGTGAACTCTTGCTGATACATGCCTTCCTTCTGGCTGAACTACGCTTTTCAATAATTTCATTAGATAATGAGTGTGTAATGTTATGCAACACCATGAACAAACACAAAGCACAACAAGGCAGCAAATACAACATTCAAAATCATTTGAGTTCAAGTTATCATGGTTTAGGTATTGAAAAACCGCTCCGACTATTCACTGAGTCTTCACAGAAGTATAGCGAATGTCATTTATTTCTATCTTTAGCACACTTTTATAGGGTCCAACAGGGTTCGTGGGGCTTAACAAGCTACTATTGATTAATACATACTGTTTTACATTCTTTTCCTAATACCCAATGTCATTGTTTTTCTTTATTCTCACTGCTCCAGGAGGGTTTCAAGGACACTGCCTTTAATATTGTCGCCTGGACTAAAAGCTGGCTTGTGCAGACAGGCTTTTACTAAAATATCATGCTTTTACTCAGTTAAAATGTTTCCCTACATCTAGGAATCAGACACTCCAATTTAGTGTACCCACAAGAAACCACACACTGCTCACTCCTGCCCCTTTCTCCTCCTCTGTGATGACTGGAGCTGACAACTGGAGGCAGAAAAGGCAAAGATCTTAGGTTGAAATAACAATATACTGGAAACAGCAATGAGATAAGTAAACAAACAGTAATAGAAACAATATTAATAGCTGTTATTAAAAAGAGAGAGTGATTTGCATGCAAAATGTTCACCAGAGAGTCTGACCGGATTGCAGCCATGCCACCCCTACTGCTCCCTCCTGCATAGAACTGATGCCACCCAAACTGCTCTCTCTTGGAAGAACTTGGAAGAGGCACCGTGCTTACTTAAACAGAAAGGAACCCCTTTGTCGCTAGTGGACATGAAATAGGAGCGTGGATTCAAGTACAGCAGAAGAGGTTTCATCTGAAGAAGGCTTTATTTTGGGGTTTTTCAGCCCGTTTTATAAGGTGTTCTGATACAGGTTTAACATGATTGATAAAGGGAACAACACCTCTCTCATCCCATTGGCAGGACAAGAGAAAACACTCGGGACATCTGTATGATAATGTTTTGGGAACCAAACAACCCATTTACAAAAAACAGTCCTTGAGAGAAACATGTTCTCAAGAAACTTTCCCTTGGGAACAGATCAGCCACTGACAGGCTGAAAAGTCTCTCAGGCTCAGAAAATCAGGTCCACACCCCTTCTCCTCAGAAGAGACTCCCTTCCCCCTGCCCCCGGCAATGACAAGAGATGCTCTAGTATTGAGACTGGAAGTTCTTTTGGTTAGGCCATGGAGATGGACTGTGATACACTAAAATATCCCCTTTAATTCATGAGAAAGTATGGGGGAATGGAGTGTTCAAACTGTAGATGTGAGCAGAGATATCTATGATGAAACAAAATAGATGCTGAAGAGACTGTGATCCCATGAGGAGCTTGAACAGACAGAGTGATGAAGATCGTTTGCCCCCAAGGAAAGAAGAAGAAGACCTCTGTTCCTAGAGGTAAAGATGATTGTAAAGATAGATGAAGAATACTTTTGCTTTTAAACAGCTCATACTTAAAATAATAGCCCATAATTTGACATGGATTTGAAATTCATGTCAAATTCAGCTGTGTGAAGGTTGTGAAAATGGGAGGAACTTCACGATTGCAGATCTTTTTCTGGGCAGCTGCTATTCATGGGAATGAAAAGCCACAAGATAACTGTTTCTTGTGGAGAAGTCTCCATGGCATGGCAAGAGAAAGCTTCTCTCTCTACAAGAACTGATAGAAGACTATTGTAGGGTTGGTAACTAATTTAAAATCCCAGGTTTTGTCTCTACATTGTCAGTTGGGAAAGAGAAGTCAGGCAGGGGGAGGAAAAGTGTTCTGAATGTTTTATTCTGATGCTTCTTGTTCTTTTAGTTCTGTTAATGAAGTTTTCTTTATACCTTTTAAGTTTTGAGCCCATTTTGGTCTTCTCCTAATCCATATCTCACAGCAAGAAATGAGTAAGTGCACTGGTGATTTTAGCCAGTCCTAAACCCACCACATTATTTGGTGCATTGGCTGGGAAACTCAAATGGTAAATCTAAACCAAGACAGTTGGCTACACAGATTGAGGGCAAAATCCTATCTTGCAATGGACAATGAAATACTTTTGAATGTGTGTTATCCTATCAGTTTCGATTTCATAGTCTAGATTGACATAAAGCTTGCAGCTATTCTTCAGTGCAGCTCATGTGCTGTCCTGTGCTGCTGACAGGCAGTCTAAGACACATCAACTCTGTTTCACCATTTGTGCTACTACTTGGATTTCTTCCTGTAGGCTACAGTAATCTCTGAGCTTTCATTAGTGGCTTTTTCTAATTTTAGTGACACATTCCTAATCATTCTTGCTAGTCAATCCAGCTACACAAACATGATTGGTAGTTGAGGGGGAAGGAGGTAGGAGGCAGTTGGCTTAATTATTTGCAGCTTGGCAAGCCACAGATGTGATACTGTCCAATGCTATTTGTTATCTGTATGCAGGTTCCTGGCAGGAGCACGGGGGCTTGTAAATTGGCTAAATAAATGGCATGCCAATAGCTGGCAAATAGGCACAAAAATTGTGTAGGGAAAGGACTACTGCATTAAGATATGGGATCTCTTACAAGAATGAGAAATGCAAGGATTCCATGTTGATGCTCACACTGCAGAAGAAAATGAAACAAAAAGGAGGAATGCGCAAGTAGATCTGTTGTCACATGTAGGAAGGGTGGATACTGATCCACATCAAGCAGACATACAGATGTTAGCTAAATGGGCACATGAGACAGCTAGTAATGTGGTCACAATGCTATAGTGGGCCAAACAATGAGGCATACATAGCCAGGTATCTAACACCATTTTCAGTATATGTGATGTATGTCCCACACTTGCAGGACAAAAGGGGTATGAGTACCACCTGTGGGACAAATCAAGAGAGGTAAAGGGCCTGTAGATGTATGGTAAATTAATTGCATAGGCCCTCTTCCTGAACATAGGCGACAGCACTATGTTTGCATTGCAGTTCATACCTTTTCTGGTATTAGAGTAGCTGTCCCAAGTAGGTATAGCAGGCAGCTATACAACAATCTGCAGTT